TATTTTGAACATTAATTTAACTACGAGATTAAGATTAAAAATGCAACCAGAGAATTTTTCTTACTCAAATAGTAGTTTTTTTTACATAAATGTTAAATTATATATATTTATTAAATGAATAAATATATAGTCTACTGACTGTTTACATAGATGACACTTTTACAATAGTTTACGTTGTTTACACGTAAACGTAGAGTATTATATTTTACGCGTAGATGCACACTGGTTTTAATAATTATATTCAGTTGGACAAAACACCGACACGGGAAGAGTCGGAGTGAAAACACACTACGACCAGAGAGATGCTTCTCTCTGCTACGACTCTTCCCGATAAAAATTCGAAGAGTGTCGGATTGATGAACAAAATTGTAAAGCGACGTGCGTCGATTTTATATAGATTTCGGAGTTATATAAATTGGCCAATTTTATAAATTGTCAAATTGAATATAAAATATCGGAAGTTTTTAACAGTTTCTTGTAGCGACTTCGGACGGAGCGGGTTTGATCGCTCTGAACGCGATTAATGACGTCACATGCTCTTTTTTAGATTTCTGATTGGACGAGGAGAGCATGTGACGTTATTAATCGCTCCCGGAGCGATCAAACCCGTATCGTCCGAAAACGCTATTAAATAATTTTTTTCTTATCCTAAAAATCTTATCCTTATAAACGTCATCACACGTAAAAAAATTTTAGCCATAATCATAAGGCCGTAAGCAATATATCGATCAATCCATAATAGCGTATATGCATATAGCCATATTTCCTCTCGTTCGGATTTCCAATTCCCGATTGGTGGGTCCCGACGCGCATCCGCGTTGCGCATCTCATCCCACCATGCCACACCTGTTTCCGCTCTACACGATCCTTTCTACCCGTGACCAGACGAGCCGTGCGAACGCGGTCTGGTTAGGTTTAACGTCTGATGCGTGAAAAATAATAGGAAGGACACGAGATGGTAAGGAACTCGATCTCCTGCGTGCGAGCGTACGTCGCGGTTTTCCCTCCCCGTCGATTCCGCGCGATCGTCCGCTTAATCTCATCGGGGAAGGTTCGCGGCCGTTCCCGACTGTCGCTCCCAACCCTCTCCGATGCACCCATCTGTAGCACCTTCCCTGCGGAACGTTATTCGAATCCAGTTTATCACATCGTGCCCCGAGAACTGAGACAAAGTTTTTCGCGTTATCGCGATAACGAGGATACGAGGGCACGAGCATCCGGAGTCAGAGGCGCGTGTCCACGTTCCTCGGTAGCATGTGCACGTGTCGAGGCAACATGTCCGGTAGGGATCCGCCATTGCGATGGCTGTCGCGTGTGTGGAGCACGAACACGCGGTATACGTGACTCCGTTGAATAATGACCCGATAAAAATTGTGTACTACGAACGTGGAGGCAATTTTGACGAGGAGAAATTTCAATGCCATGGACAAAAACGATTTTTCTCCTTCCGATCGCAGCAATATGTCACATTCTCTTGTGGCTGTGTGCTGTACATACAACAGTGCAGAGATTGAAATCTGAATTTCTAAGAATCTCTCTTAAAGACATTTAACAATAAATAGTATCCAAAAATTGTTAGGTAAAAGACAAGAAATATTCACTATTCATAGGAGCAAATCTCACTAATATATTGATTTGTCATTATTATTGCAACATGTATTCTTTTTTTTTTTTAGTCGTTATCAACGGCGAGACCACTTGTTACGGTCTACAGCGATAAGAATGAGGCATCGGGTGACACAATTTCCCTGCCGTCTGTCTTCAAGGCACCGATTCGTCCCGACATTGTGAATGACGTGCACCAGCTGATCTCTACGAACCGCAGACAACCGTACTGCGTTTCTAAAGAGGCTGGTAAATATTGAAGTCTTGGTTTTATTAATTTCGTATACATGATAATTATCATTACATTGACAATTATCATATCTGAATAGCATAACTAATAAATGTGCAGAAAGCTAACATTGTGGTCTCTGTTTCTCACAGGTCATCAAACCTCTGCGGAATCATGGGGTACTGGACGTGCCGTGGCCCGTATACCTCGTGTACGCGGCGGCGGTACTCACCGTTCCGGGCAGGGTGCCTTCGGTAACATGTGCCGAGGCGGGCGCATGTTTGCTCCTACCAAGCCGTGGCGACGTTGGCATCATCGTGTCAATGTCAATCAGAAACGTTATGCTCTCGTTTCTGCCATCGCCGCCTCTGGTGTCCCTGCACTCGTGCAATCTAAAGGTACACATCTTTTATATAGATAGCATTTTTTTTATTAACGGAAACGAAATTTCTGTGGAATTTTATCTATAAAAATTTTTTTGAGAGAAACATTTCAGTTTATATTGCAGTTTTTCAATAATTCGAAAGAATCGTAGAAAATTATAGTCCTCTAATTGTATATTCTGATATATTCAAAAATAATTGAATGATAAATTGTAATATATTTTTGTATTTTTACACAGGACACTTGATCCAGGAGGTCCCGGAATTTCCGCTGGTGGTTTCCGATAAGATTCAAGAATACACGAAAACTAAGCAGGCCGTCATCTTTTTGAGACGCATCAAGGCTTGGAATGATATCCAAAAGGTTTTAGTTTTTTTTAGTCTTAAAGATCCGTATCATCTTGCGTCGTGTTGCACCATTAAATGTCCGCATCTTTGCTAAGCAAAATTTAGCTCGGATGCTCCTAATAGGTGCTAGAAAAATATGGTATTCAGGCGTTCTTTACTAGTCGATTTGCGTTCACTAGCAAGGGGTATGAATCACCAAACAATTTTCTTCGTATTTTTATGAGTACTTGAATGGACTAATATTTTTTTAAATATCTTAAAATTCTAACTTCTTATAAAAGCAATTCGTTAATCAAGTCCACATGAGTGCTCCTTGATTTAAATTCAATTGGGTTTTTTTTTAATTTGAAGCAAATTTAAATTATTTTATTTATTTTTTTATTAGGTGTATAAATCTCAACGTTTTCGTGCTGGTAAAGGTAAAATGCGAAATCGCCGACGCATTCAGCGACGTGGACCACTGATTGTATATGGCAATGATCAGGTGAGCAGTTTTTTCTCAAAGTACATTGTTTGACACACACACACACACACACACACACACACACACACACACACACACACACACACTTCAATTTGTAAACACAAATCAATTATATTTGAATTAAAATAAATTTTACTCGCGCTCGAACGCGAATTCAATTGTTAGATTTTTATAATTCTGTAGGAATTATAGAACAGATTGCTATATAAATCACATTATAATGATCTTTAGGGCATCCGTAAAGCATTCCGTAATATCCCCGGCGTCTCTCTGATGAACATCAACAAGATGAATCTGCTGAAGTTGGCACCTGGTGGCCACGTTGGACGCTTCGTAATCTGGACGAAGTCCGCTTTTGAGCAGTTGGACGCCCTTTACGGAACCTGGCGTAAAGAGTCACAGCTTAAGAAAGGATATAACTTGCCGTTCCCTAAAATGGCCAACACGGATCTGTCCAGACTTCTGAAGTCCGAGGAAATCCGCAAAGTCTTGAGAGCTCCTAGGTAATTTATAGGCGAAGACATGATCTTACGCATCACGATCACAATTAAATTTGTAGATATATTTTTTAAAATTTGATAACGTACTACTTTGAGGAGCCTATTCTATCTTATCATTCATAATAAATAACATGATACATTTTATTTGATGCACTTGCAGGAAGAAGGTGGTGCGTAGAGTTAAGAAACTGAACCCGTTGACCAACACGCGGGCTATGCTGCGTCTCAATCCGTATGCCGCAGTCCTGAAACGCGCCGCCATCCTGACCGCGCAGAAGCGCCAGCGCGAGAGAACAGTTCTTCTCGCTAAGAAACGAGGCGTAAGTGCAACTCCGTCGTTTAATTTATTACATACAGCTTAGATTAGTAAATTATGCGATAATAGTTGAAGAGGAATTGCAAAATGTAATGACAATTTGTATTCGAAATTTTGACTTATCGCGCGATTTCGTAATATTGCAGGTGGAATTGCGGAAGAAATCGCGAACGGCGAGGACCATCGCGCTTCTGACGAGAAGGAAAAAGCAGCTGGCTCAGCACAAGAAGAGCGTGAAGAAGACCCCGAAAGTTAAAGCTGACAAAGATACTACGAAAACCGCTGCCCCTGCCAAGCAGCCAACTAAAAAGTAAACAACAAGCGATTACCAACAATCGACACTGTTGTTGACTCATAATTTTTATCTCTGTCTTAAATAAATGGCGGAAAATTATAACTGTTGTCTTCAAATATTTTAATCTTTATTTAATACTTTAGCTGTGTTCGGAAACGTCATCCGAGTTTCTCCCTGTATATTATTTTATCCTTGTTCAATATTCGGTGAACAAGAAGTGTCAAGAAAAATAAAATAATACACGAGGGCACTCGAACGTTTCCGAATACAGCCTTTGTTAATCTCACAAAAAATCTATGCTTAATAAGTCATGTTTATTATCAATGATATAAGACGCGTTCAATATCAGCGTTTACAACATCCAGAATGATACTAACCATTTGATTGACATTAAAACCCAGCCGAAATAGATTTAATTTTGTGTTATTTTCTATTTTGTATTCAATTTTAAATTTTATCCGATGATTTTCGCAGTTATCGTTGGAAATTTTTAAGGTTCACTTATCTCGATAAAATATTTTTTTTGGTAATTTATTTTTAAAAACGGTTTACATGTCAAGGTGATCGGTCAAGTTTCGCGCATTTTCGAGCTAACGAAGGGTGACATTGGGCAGGTACGAAAACTGAAATTAAGGGCTGCGTGTTGCTATGCGTAAACTCGTCCTAGCTACGAGCAGGGTGGAAAAGCCAGTCGAGCCGCGCGCGCAACTGCGCGCGATTAGTCGAATCACGTGGCGTCGGATGCATTGTGACTGATGCACTCAATCTTCAGTTTGCTCCATAGTCCATTGTTAGCTGCATTGGAAGTTGGAGCACGCGGCGTTTTACTGGTTTGCGTCTGTTTATGTCCAGAAAAAGGAGACGAAGCGTTTTCGTTTGAGATCATTACGTTCTTTACGGAGTGGGGGTAAGATTATTAGTATAAAACAATATTATATTTTTATCACGGATATAATAGTTAATATCTTTGAAAAAAAGAATTGTATGCATGCTATACATAAATTCCGCTTCCAACTAGGTTAAGCTCTACAGCCTCGTCATTCTGCGTGTTAAGATAATATTAAGATAAAAACATCTACGTTTTACGAATTTCGTATTTTCATTTGAACATATTCTGTTATAAATATTGTATAACCGTTATAAAATATTTTGTCAGCGTACGCGTGTATACGTGTATTCCATTTTATTTAATATTTTTGCATACAAAATGACGAGAATTTATGCGAAAGATATTTAACTTAAAAAAAAAACTAAAAGAAAAAATCCGTATTACTAGGAAAAAGCAAGATCACTTTATTAATTCTATTTATTTCTTTTACTAAACCGTACTGCTATATTAATGTGTAATGTTATTTGTAGCGGTAACAATGGATGAATCTCGCAGAACATGGGAATCGACATTGGAAGAGAAAGAGCAAGAAAGATTGAAGTTAAAAAGAAAGGAGTGGCGTATCCAACAAGAACGTGAGAAAAAGCACGAGGAACGAAAGTTAAAAATGATTGAAGAGTACGAAAGGAAACGAGCTGAAGTAATCAATAGCAAGCTAAAGTCTCTACGGCGAAGCAAGAGCGCTAGTCCTCAACGAAGAGAAACTAGTTTCCCTGACTACGAGCATTCCAAAGAGTACATAATACATAAGAAATTTTGAATTTACAGAATAAACATTAATAATTAGACAAAATGAAATATGTTTGAATTAGTTGAAAGTATTGCAAAAAAGTGTCAAATCTATAATTCATAAATATGAGTAGTATCAGGAGTATAATATAAAATTATATAGTAATGTTATAAATGCAACTTGCAATATAAACTTAACTTCAATGATTTTCTTAAATTTATTTTGTTCTTAATTTTTTTATATGAGGAATGTTTTTTTTTTAATTGATGTACTGTTTTTAAAATAGTTTTAAACGGAGAGCATCAGTAATATTTAATGGTCCAAAAGGTATAATTGACAAGAAAAAACTGCATGAAAACAAGGTAACTATTTGCAATAAAGAGAGCAGTCTTCCAACAAAGGATCAGAGTACGTCAGTAAAGATTGAACGGGACATTATAAATCCAGATGATATAATTCTTCCTCGAAGACAAAGTAAAGTATTATATTAGCCTTGTGATACTTCTATAACTGTTTAATGTTTCAAATCATGTAATGGTGGAAAAAATTTTATAATACTATATTAATATAATATAATAAAATTAAATATTCCTTCAATTTATTTTAAAATTAAATATTTTCAACATACTGAAGAGTTGGAATTTCAACATAATGAAGAATTGCAATTTTATCTTAATGAAGAGTTGTGTAATATCGTAATATGCATAATCTGCCCAATGAACTAATTGAAAAAAATGATTAATTATAGATGAAGGTAAATGCCCAATATTCAAAAGAAATGAAATAAAAGAAACTGAAGAGATACGGATAATTAAATTCTCAGAAAATGAGCAATTGGGTATTTATATTACTTATTTTTTAAATACTTTATTCAATGTATTTATTTAGTATAATTATATAGTATTACTATTTTTACATGTAACATATGGTTTTTTAAAACAATTTAACATTTTTTATATATCTGTAAAATGAAATAAAGTTATTTATCTGGATTAAATTATAAAATGTAAATCAAATGTGACAACTGAGAAGATGTTAAAAGAACATGTTTGGGCTATTTTAATTTCAGAAGAACAGCAGTCAACAAGTAGGAAGAACGCTTCTACGTGCAAAAGTCCTGATGATGATAAAATTCTACATTGGTATGTATTGAATTATTACTTATTTATATACATTATATTATTTATCTAAATAACACACATATATTGTGTACACTACACAGTGCCCACCAAAAGTTCTAGGACATTTAAATAACTTCTGAATGGTTCGAGGACTGAAATTTATAGGTATATGGAATCATAAAATAAATAAATCTATTATTCAATTTCAAAAAGGTGTTTACACCTTAACATCCTACACTTACTTTAACACCTCCCGGAAGAGGTAGGGAGAAGGGAGCCGGCTTAAATGGCATATGCCATTTAAAATTTTCTGGCTTCCCTTTCATCCTGCCCCCAGGGATGTTAAAGTGAGTATTTTCAAAGTTGAATGATAGATTTTATGATCTCATTATACCTTTATAAATTTCAATTCTATATCTTGAACCATTTAGAAATTATTTAGGTGTCCTGGAATTGTTAGTGGATATATATTATACAATGTTATATGAATATACTGTATATATTATACAGTATATACATATAAATATATGATATATTATATAATTATTGAGTATTGTTTATCCATATATACATACGTCATGATATTATCATATGTATATGTATATAAAAATTTCAATATATTGGATTCTCGAAGCTCACTTCACAAAAAAATATTTTTCAAGTTTCAATTAAATTTATATGGATAATATACAGAGTGTGAAAAAAAATTTGGAACTTCTGAATAACTCAGGAAATATAAGTTTTATAGAAAAATGTTTAAGACAAAAATTGTAGAGTTTAAAAAGATGTATTTGCTGATCTTTATTGGTTCTCTTTATTGGATCTCTATTGGTTTAATCTTGGGTGGCATCGCCAAAATTATAACAAGGTCACCTTGAATTTTTTTAATGGAATCTCCCCATTTTTATTGCATATTCTTGTAGTTTATCTCGAGAGCTTTCCATATACAAAATTATAAAATTACATAGATGTCTACATTAAGTATTGCTTATACACACTTTGCTAAAGAGCAGTCCTAGGAGCTATCCTAGAATAAATGGATCATATTTTTTCATATTTGTTTATTCATTCATTTTTTATACTATCTTATATATTCAAATAGAATCTTTATTACTTGTAGCCAAAGAAGAAACTTGGTTTACACTTTTTTTATATCATTTTTTATATTATTCACATATATCCATTTATTCTTCGTAATTTTGACATTTACACTCCAAACGATTTATCTATCTATATTCTCTTGCTTACTATATCTTTTTATCTCAAAATCCTATTTCAGACTTCCCGTCTTAAGTTTTTTTACTTTTCTTAACAATCTAAGTCCTCTCCTCGTCCGTATGTCCTATATAATTTACAATCCTACTTTCCCGTTCTTAGTTACTATCTTATATATTTAATTTTTACTTATCAAATTCTCTATAGCGTTTATATAGTATCTATCAGAGAAAATTCTTATAAATGAATGAATAAACGAACAATTTTGTATAGACTGAATGTAATGTCGAATTCTTTGAACAACTATTATCAGATTGTAAAATTTATTTTTAACTTTTGGAAATTACGAAGGAATAACGGACCTCACAAAGTACTGGTAAGAAGAAAAAATATATTAATTAAGAGAAGTAATATATATTATAACCTTCTTTTGTATGTATTATTTTTGTTTTAAGTGGTATTCTACAAGGGTGAGTCAAAAATTATTCGCACTTTTGTTTCCACAATTTTGTTCCATAAAAGTAGGGGTTCAACAAGTATATCATTTTTCTACATTGTCTCCTTGCTTTTCAATGCACATGGTCCAGTGGTTCACAAGCTTCTGTATTTCCTCCAGGAAGAAGTTTTTGGTCGCGCAGCCATTTATGCACCGCTTCCTGTACCTGGATTCTGTAACTCTTAACGAAAATTCGATATCGTTATATCGTCGTTGCGCAGCTTTTTTACTATATAAAATATAAAATATCTGCGCAACGACAGTATAACGATACCGACACGTTATCCCTATCACTTCATTATGAGTACCCAGGAAGTGATGCATAAATGGCTACGCGACTAACAAAAAACCTTCCTGGAGGGAATACAGAAGCTTGTGGACCGCTGGACCAAGCATTGAAAAGCAAGGAGACTATGTAGAAAAATGATATACTTGTTGAACCCCTACTTTTATGGGAAAAAATTGGGGAAACAAAAGTGCGAATAATTTTTGACTCACTCTTGTGTTATTAAAATTTTTTAAAATCTTTATTTTAAATATTATTTTAAAAAATATCAATGTAAATACATTAATCAGAACAAAGTTAAAAGATTTTTTTTTTTTGAAATGTACATATGTTCCAGATATTTTGAGTTTTAAATACTTAATTGTTTTGATGCATAATTATTTTCTATAAGTATCTATGTGAACATAGTATAATTTTTTTTTAATATGACATTTGAATCTCTATAAAATCTTTTTAAAAAATAATCTTTTTTTGGTATTATGTTTTTATAATGTTTACAAACTATTGAATATTGCGTTTTACGTGTTTACACATTTAAGAGATAATGATAATAATTTGTATTCTTGAACATAAATTATCATTACTATATGTTATAAATTTTAACAATTAAAAAAAACATCTTAACAATTAAAAAATATCTTATAAGTATGTATACTAAATATCTTTTTCGAAACAGTATAAATGTTTACTTGAATAATTTCTTTTTTTTAATATTTTTTATTAATTTAATATCTTTATTATAAAATTTGCAGCAATATGTTCCTGATTGACCGAAAATAATTTTGTGAAAAATTTATGAGAACAGGTAAACTTTGCAGAACAGGTAAGAAAATGTTCTATATCTATTGTAAAAAGAATCATGATATAAAAATATAAAAATAAAAAAATAAACAAATGTAGAAAAAAAGTGTATTTTGCAATTATTATTAGAAAATAATCAACTTTTTTTTTAACTAGTGGATATAAAGTTGGTTGTTAAAATACATTCTACATTTTCGAAAACATTCAAATATATTTTTTTAACATAAATCTTATAAATGTACAGTTTTTTATTATGTCCAAAATAGATCTTAAAAATTATTTTTATGGTCATTAAACGTAATTATATATGAATCTATAAAAAAAACATATATATATATATATTTATATATATTTGAATATAATGTTTTTGAAAGAATATTGTAGAATGCTGTCGCTAGTTTAAAAAAAAATTTGATTATACAAAATAATGAATTATTTTAATATAAATTTTGGTAACTTTAATCTTTTTATTTTAAATTAGATATGTATATATCGTAAATATAAACTTTATCAAGTTATTTTTCGATAAGTATTTTATTAAATATTTAAACAATAATATTGTAATATTAATTTATTATGTTGCTAATAATATATTAACACACTGATCTAGTTCGCAAGTGAAGTCATTTACACATCGAGATAATCGAACAGATGATAGACACAATCCCAACAGGTTAGTTACAATTTATTCATTAATAAGAAATCAATAAATTACTAAATGATAAGCGATAATTCTAAATTTTTACAATAAGTACTATTGATATGAAATTTTATTATTATTTTTTTAATCTTGATTTTTAAAAAACTTTAGGATTAATCTGTTATAAGTGAAAAATTATAAGAATCTTAGCAGTTTTAATAGATTTTTTTATTTCACATGAATAATGAATGTGCATATTATACATAAATAAAATTAGAAATACTTATTTTATGTTCCAGAAGGCGACGTAGTCCGATAAGAGACAACGATGAGAAAGATAGGGGTAGAAACGAAAGAAGAAACAAAAGTTCGTTACATCACAATAGCCGTAGCGTATCTTTCTTTAGGGATCAATCAAGATCTCGTTACAGGTACAAAATAAAACCCAATAATTCAAATATAAAGAAAATTTGAATTCAGAAAGAAATTCCAATAAATATTGTATATTTTGTTTAGAATCATATTAGCGATTTATGGATTTGTACGTTTGTTATATGAATGCAAATTTTTCTATGTATTATAATGAAGTTATAATTTAATATGTACATTTTTATAACGAATATAAAAAAATGTTCCTTCTTTTTAGAAGTAGAAGTCTTTCGCTGACCAATGAACGAGCTAGAGAAAAAAGAGTGGATAATTACAAAAATAGAGTTTCATCTAGAAAAAATTATTCTGACGCATCACGCGAGTTAGATGCGAATTGTGCATCTTCATTCATGGACTACAACGCCTACATGGTAAGTGCAGCTAAACTTTGATGTCCAGAAAAGAAAATTGATTAGCACTTTTGTTTCAATCAGGATTGAAAAGGAACAAAATATATAGGATTAGACAGTTATCTGAAGTAATATTGTGTGACTTATCATATTTTGGGAGGAACCGCATTTTTACAAACTGATGTTTGTCTCAGCGTTTATCTGGACCAATGCCGATGCCGATGCCGATGCCGATACCGATGCCGATGCCGACGCCGATGTCGATGCCGATGTTTAGAGGACAGGCACCACCTGTGCTTGTGCCTATCTTCCCGAGAACATTCCCTACGTCATTTCCGCCGATGAATATATATCGGTGGCAACGACCTCCTCCTAGTAAGTTTGACATCGCATAATTAATACATGTGCAGAGTGATACAATGCACTGATACAATCCTTTTATTTTAGGATTTGTCAACAGCAAAGGAATTAGACCCAATAATCGATACAATAGCTGAGAAATTTAATTTTAATGATTTTTTAGTAATATTTTTTTAATACGCGCATCTTTAATTATTGAAAATATGTTTTATTTAAGATAACAATATGGGTGCAATTGACAACTTTTATTTGTAAATGAAACGCTTTTACTTTTATTTATGCGTTTTTGCGCGAAATACTATCGTGTCTCTTGATGTAGATTTTTACGAAATGGATGATCATTTATTTTACCTTCTTTTATTCATATTAACTATTCAATTGTCCAATCAATTTTTTAGAAAAATAAGGTATAGACGCGCGCGCGCACGCACGCGCGCGCGCACACACACACACACACACACACACATACCGTTTTCACAGAGATATGTATCATCCCAACTGAGAATTTTATAATAATAAAATAAATGGAATATTTTATATGTAAACATAGTAAATATTGTAATAATAAATAATTAAAATATAGATGAAACAACTCATCGTTTTCACTTCACTCACAAATCAATTAATTTTCGTATAAAATTGAAGGTTGAAATTGAAGCAATTGAAGATCTGCTGATTATGATAGTTAATCGCTCTTATATGGCGCCATGCATTATAAATAATGATATAGTAATAATATAATTTTTAAGATTTTATTTTGTGGCAATCAGTACTTGCGGAGTAGAAATTCTAAAAATTTTCACAATTTATGAAATTTTAATTAACATCACTTCCTTATTCGTTATATTCTTTTAATATTTTATCGATTTTTAAGAGTTACAATTTTCACGATTCGCGAACTTTTAATTTTAAAATTCTAAGAACTATTGAAGTTTTACTTTGTCACTTTATTCTCTGATATGTTACCATTTATATTTTTAAGAATTTGATTTTTAATTGCGGTTTGCAAAGTATCGATAATCGGTAAATTTATCAAACGTCGATCACGACTGTCAACGTCAAAACATTCCAAGCGTAGCGAGTGCAAGCGAGTTAGGTAAACAATAAAGCAATAAACAACATACGTCATACAGTGTCCGCATGTTCAACAGAGATACAATCTTACGAAAACGAAGTTCTGTCTAGATAAAGATTATACCGATTATACGTGACAATCACGCGTTAAATCGCAAGAAACGAGATGAGAGGTATATTGATATTCGACCATCTGAACGATGTGTTGTTTGTAAAATGCAATAAAAAATTTGCCAGCCATATCCTGAAGCTGGCGAAAATGCAGGGATTGCTCGGTGACGATAAGGTAATTGATAACTTTGAGATTACCTAATAGTGACATAAGGATCAATTTTGTGAAGTTTATAACCTCTTAGAACTGTACAGTTATTTTCCCGAATATTTAGAAGAAAGAGTACAAAAAAATTATTCCAATGTAACAACAACTATTTGTACAAGGCAATAGATCAATGTTAAATCATTGATGAGTAACAATAAGTACTTCTCTCTCTTGTAGGATACTACAGATTTGGAAAATTCTATACCGAGTCCCAACATCATAATGCAGTTATTTTCACCCATACTCACGTCACAACATGTGATGGCCTCGCAGTTCGGAAATTCCTATACCTCTATGAAGTTCCAGGATGGGACCAACATGGTGTTTGACGAGTACATTGGCTATACCTTCATGTATATTGCTTCGAAAGAGGTAGAACTCATGAGACGTACGCTGGGAGTATGCGTATCCATTGTACGGCATGTGTGTGGTCCAGACATTGCAATGTTAGTATGTAGCTAATAGATTAGTTTGATAGAGTATAATATAATAGATAAATAACAAAAAAACTATATATATATACATTTTTTGTTATTTAGAATATACTTAATATAATAGAGTTTACAATATAATTTTTAAAAATCTATAAGATTATAGATTTAAGATAAATCAACAAATAAGCTCTACTTGATAAGGACTGTATAGTGTTTAATCGTATATTGTGACAAGACAGTGATTGTTAATAAAATAGTTACGATAATAATTACAGCTATTTAATTAATCGCTTTGCTTTGATCTTCTTTATAGATTAAAGACCAATTGGCAGAAGATGTGTCTAGTGTCTTCTCTGTTGGATGCGTGGTCTAATCTAAGAAACAGCGAACAAAGCATGTTGACAGAAGCAGTGGAACAGTTGTCCGTGAATGCAGAAGTAGCGTCGTCGGTCCTCAAGGTACTCCACGACGCCTGCGACAAGCTGAAGAATTCACAGCCTGAATTTAGCAATCTGCATTTGCTGCTCCTAGTGGGCTCCAAATTTCTGTCCTTGTACTCTAGCAAAAACGCTCATGATCTGTGCGCTTCGGACATCCTGTTGATGATCCTGCTATGCTGGGTGGTGAATAAAAAGCGAATGCACGATCAGTCGGAAAGCCATGATGATTGCGGTGACAGTGATATCTTATTGCCGGAGAGCAGCGCTTTGAAAAGCGACGAAACAAAATTAAGCTTCGGAGCTAAGCTGACCGCTCCTACTTCAGAGGACATTACGGATCTCTTTAGTAGGTTTTTCAGCGTAGTTTTTGGTAACGAATATCTATATACCTTTGTGTGGCATAACTGAAAATTATTAGAATTAAGGACGAACTCCTAACTAAATAGATTATAATAATTCTTTATTTGTTGTAGGAGGTTCCAGAGAATCTTCTGTGAACGAAGGACTCTCATCCTTAACTGACGATGATCTCTACAGCCAATCGCTTCTCCTCGGCTGCCAGCATAATTATACAGCTAATGCAGTTCACATCTTCGAGTTGTCAGATTCCATTAATTTAATAGCAATCGTCGAAGCCACGAATCTTTCCATTTCTTCAGGATTATGTGACAGTTTCCATTATTTAAATTTGATAAACAATCTGCAGTCTCAACGAGACATTGATGAGTTGAAACCGGCCTTCGAGAACCTCGATATAGCAATTAAAAAGATGCTGGAGGGAATTAAGAAGAATCGTTCTAACGTCGGAAATGATGTCGATATGTGCCAGAAGAGGTTACAGACCAAATGGGATTTTATTCGGAAAAAATACAACGATCTTCTACGCTCCAGAGATCCTGAAGTGGTTCTGCAGATCGAAGCCAATATTTCTGGCTTCGTCGAGACACTGAAAGAATTATTGCGTTTAACCTGTTTTGATAGGAATTTCTTGAAGCAAGGAATTGATGTTCTGACAACGGTTGGCAGACTCGTGAGGCAGAAGCTGAACGATTTCAGTGACTTCCTGAAAGTCAAAGCTCTGAAAAACTTTACGCTAGGATCATATCCTTTTTTAAAGCTTGAAGAGGCATGATTTCTCCCCTGACTTTTTTCCTCTCTGAATAGTTTTTAAAATGTCTTAGAATTTTTATTCTTCAAATCTCGTTATTTAATTTTTAATATTATTTATGAAACTTATATTTTTAATAAAATATGAAGACATTGTTTGTTATAACGGGAGAAGAATAGATATTTAACATACAAAATTTTAATTATACATATTTTTTTCTTTAGAAAAATTTATATTCTTTTTTTAGACATTATCTAAAAGTTTTTTAAATTAGCACATCGCACATGCAACTTTTTTATTTCGTATGTCTCCTTAATGTTATCGAGTTTCCACAAGAACTTCCCTAACTATCAACAAATATCTTGAGGAGTTTCCAGGTTTAGTGCATTTCATCTACATCGACAGGAATACGCATAGACTCGTGGCACCTACACTGGATTTCACGAGCATGGAAACGCTCGCTCTCACAATGAAAAAGGTGGGTTCTATAGAGACAACATTAGTTATCTTAAAATTATTTTAAGTAAATTTGTTAAATTTAATTATATGGTATAACACTGTATTAATAACACTGTAACACTAGTAAAAAATTATCTTTTTAAAAAAGGGCGCTAAGAGTACGCGCTTTTCAAAGATAAAACTGTTCTATTTATTTAATGTCAATATTTAAATTTTTAATAATTAAAATTTTTAATAATTGTTTTATTTTACAACTGCTATATCAAAATTTAATCTTTCTACATAGACAAAAAAATCGGTATTTATATTTGTCGGTACTTTAGGTACTCAGGAATTTAAAAATTTTAATTATGATTGTAAATGGACAATTTATAGGGAATAGTAAAATAAAGAACTTTTATTTTACATCACTAAGTTGTCCACTAGGTTGACAATGACTACAGCATTTTTTCATATTCAATTTATATTTTTTAACTATATCTTTGAAAAACTAATTTCTTGATTTAAAATAATTTTATATTCATTATATATTTTTTGAAATATCTTTCAAAAAAACTTTCCTTGATGGATCTAAAGTAAAAAAAATGTAGTATGACAATTAACATGACTAAAAGAATCATACTATTTATCTAAAATTCTCATAGCTTATGTAGTTCTTCTATCTATTACTAGATGGCCAAATAGAGAAAAGTTTTCTCGTATTTAAAATTCCACATATTTCTCTATATATATAGCGTACGTTCATCATGTAACATATAATAAGCAATACTCAATATTACTATTTTTTGAGAGCAAAGTTTTTTTGAAAAACATGAATTTATTTTAAAAAACAGTTATAGTGAGCCTGAAATGGATCCGTTCAGCCGTTGTCGAGATAATCTCGAGTGCTCGTGACTCGCCGGCTGCATAAAGAGACACGGTCCGGTCTGGCGCTTTCTCTTTAGCGCCACGACATGTGTCTCGTGAGTCGTGACACATGCAGTGAAAAATCCTGATGTAACTGCAAATAGAATAAGTTTATATAGAAGTATTTTTTGTTTTTGTGTAGATCTGGAACATGGTTGAGCAAAGTAGAATGCATTTACAAGAGGGTCATCTATCAGTTATGTGGAAGGACACTACATTCAATTACTCCTACTTTTTATGGTTCGAGGATAATTCCGTATGTATGCAATTTTAATATATTTTTAATATATTTAAATATATTAGTGTATAAAAATAAAATATTAACAGATCTTATCTGTTACTCTATATATTTTTTATGGAGTTTAATAAAAAATTAAATTTTACATTGCAAGATACTATATTTCATGAAATATCATATATAATATAAAAAATAAATATTTATATTATAATCTCTTTTCATATTTGCAGGGATGTTCACCACCGAAATGTAAAGTCTACCTTAACTATGTTATGAAAAATTTCCCGATACCGGGCATACTTTGCGGAGATTATTACAGGTTATATTTTAAACTATGTTCTTTAATTAAACATTTTTTTGTCTCTTAATCTACAATTAAAAAATACAAAATTATATTTAATTATCAAAAAGATCTTACAATAATAAAAATGAAATATAGTTATATAATGTTACGAAAGATTCTAAAATATCTCATTTTTTCATATGCAGAAAATTAACTGAGACGTGTTTTCCAAAACTCTCGCCGAGCAAAGTCCGAATCTATGAACTATACTGTGTACACTTAGGATTGACGACGTCGACATGCGTCCTGGAACATTCCCGCAGACTGGCAGCCACCATCTGGGAAGTCACCGGGGTGCCAAACAATCTTGCGGATATATTCTAAAATTGCATTCCCTCGAGTACAAAATTTCAATTGTTTAATTTTGATTGTCTAGATTTTATGAATTTCGATATTTCTCGAATTTCAATGTTGAACTTCCATCTTTAATTTTAAATTCTCTAAGTATCTTTTAAGGTATTTGAATTTCTGTGATATTTAGATTCCTAGACTCTTCCTTACATTTTTATTTAAATCGTCGCTTTTCATAATATTAGTTTTCTTTCTTTCTCTTATTGGCTGCAGGCCAAGTCGTAAAACTGTTTTCTTCAAAGTTACGAAACACTTTCAGAGAAATGTACAATTCCAATTGCGACATTTCAAAAATTTAATATTTCCATATTAATCAATATGAAATAAGAGATGTCAATAACAATAACGGGGAAACTTATTTATTTTGCTTAGTCTTATCTTAAGGTTAGATATATCCCTGTTTGCAGTCGAAGAATTAACTCTGTCTCTTATACACATCTCTGAGCGGGCTGGCAAG